CCTGGGCCAGGCCGGCGTGGGAGCTGGGCCTGGGCTGCACCATCTGGATGCCCCCGATGGGGATCATGAGATAGGGCGTCCTGGACAGCTGCTGGGAGTGCAGGGGCAGGTGGCTGAACACGCGGTCGCCCGGCCGGCCCGCCGCGTGCCCGGGGAAGTCCGAGGCCGAGTGCAGGAGCCGCGGCGCCGGCGGGAAGGAGTAGCATTCCGGGGAGCTCAACCCTTCCCGGGGAAAGTAAATCTTCTCCTGGGAGAAACAGAGCGGAAAGAAACGCCACCATCACTTGGCTGGCTCATGTGCTTAAAGGGCTGTTTTGAAATATGAAGCATGAATGTGAATTTTATACACATTATATTTAGAAATATTAAAATATCATTCTCAGCACCTTCCCCCAGTCTGGACGCTGAAAATAGATACAGGTTAGTACGCTCGCGTGCTATATCTTTGTTAGTGCTGGGGTGGGGGTGGCCCTACATTACCAACAACATCCTACTGTTGGAGGCAGCCTGAAGAGATCACTGTCTCAGACACTCATTTGTTTTCTTTTTCAACGTATCACCTTAAAATAACACTGAGGGCTGTGTGTGAGGCTGTGTTTATTCAGGAAGTGTAGCGCTGCGATTTGTGTCGTACCTCAGCAGCGGTCTGGCCACAATTCTGCTTTCTGTCTTGAGGCCCCGTATTTACACAAATGTAAACGCTCAACAAGATATGTGTACTGATAAACTTGACGGGCTAATAAAAGATCCATTTTTTTTATTCCAAAAGAAAAAAAATGAATTCCCCTGTGTTCAAACCTACCATTTTTTGTACACTATCCCGCAGGAAAATATGAGGAAAATAGCATATACTGTACAAAAAAAAACATTGGTGTAGCCGAGTTTATTTTCAATTTGTGAATGATAGTAAATACTAAATTTATACAAGAACAACACAAAACTCTCCTCAGAAATGTGTCAGAAGTGGTCTGGTGACTCACCAGTCTAGACTGGCTGGCCTCTGTGCTTGGTGTGTCCCGAGGGGCCTGTCCAGCAGGGAATGGCGTGGAGCTGTGGGCCCTCTGGAAGGAAGTGGGGATCTCAGTCGGTGCAGGTGTGGGCAGGGCGCGGGGCGCCAGGTAGCGGCTGGGGGAGCGGGGCCTGATTGGCGATGGGCCCCTCTCGGGGGAAGGAGAGAGGTGGCGGCTTGGGGAAGAGACCTCCAGCCTGGGAGACAGGCAGCGCAAGGGGGAGACCTCTCGGCCTGGGGACACTGGCCTCACGGGGGACAGGCCCTGGCCTGGGGACAGGCAGCGCAGTGGCGAACCCTCGCTGCTGGGAGAGAAGGCTCGGGGAGAAGCCTCCCAGCGCCTGCGAGAGAACAGGGCTCTCCTGCTGCCGGGGGAGGCCTCCCGAGTGGTAGGCCAGTGCCTCCTGGGTGACGGGTATTCCTTCTGTCTGGCCACAGGCTCTTTCTCCTGGGCTGGAGGGAGAGCAGACTCTGGGGCATCATGTTGGGGTTGCTGTCCACTGTCAGAACGACCACCGGTGGAGTGTCTCGTGTCCGGGGAGCAGGAGGAAGGCGGATCCTCATGGGAGGACGACTCCTCCTCCTCTTCCTCCTCTTCATTCTCATCATCATCCTCGGAGTCGTCCACGTCGGAGAACTGGTGCTCCTCCTGGTCCTCTGAACCTCCTGCCCTCTCCTCACTGCCTCCTGCTTGCCAAAAGCATTACAGCTGCTATCAGTGTCACATCAACATAAAATCAAATCAACGCGTGGGGGCAATTCATGCAAAGGAACGCCAGCTCTCACACACAGGGAACTTAATAACCTCAGTGACACAGGGACACAGTCCAGTCTTTTCATCCATAAACTATAAGTTGTTTACAAAAAACTACATGCTCTTACTACATATGACTGTGTTAAGGCAAAAAACTGGGTTGCATCTGTAGTTGACAATTGTACAACCCATAATATAAGCTAAATCTGACAAGTTTAAGTATTTAAACACTACATTCTTTATACACTAAAAACAAAATCTGTTTGCATGTGAGCGCATGTTGTTCTATCAGTTCTAGAGGTGCATAAATATGTGTGAACACAAAATGCTGATAAAGGAGACAAAAATATTCACATCATTGTAATTACATTATGAAAAAAACAAGAAAAAGAAAGAACCACAAAGAAATACTCATGAAATGCATAAGAGTTACACATCTGAAGATCAGATTGTACAATCATCTACCGAACTACATGTGCTATTGAGCAGTAATGGGTTAACCTGGTTTTGCTCAAGCCAAAGTTGCGTTGGAGTCTCACAGCTCAACTTGTTCTTTTTTAAACAAAAAGGCATATTTTAATAGAATTTCAGATTCTTCATTCACAAAAAAATATTTATAGGTTTTTGAATGAAGCAATCTGAAAGGTTGCCCTTGACTCTGTGCAGTCGTGCAGCGAGTTCTTGTTGCTTGAACTCGAAAGAAAAGAGTCTGGCGGTGAGAATGCGACAGGCAGCAATCAATTTGTGCACTATATTTACTTTGGGAGAGAAGGTAGAGTCTGTCTGTAGCAGCCTGAGTGTTCCTTTTATAGCAGAAAACCTTTCATCTCACTGCACAGCCTTGATTGCATTGTATACCTCCTGCTCTACCCAGAATGCACCTGGAAGACAACTCAATGAAACAGCTTGTCAACTTTTTTTGTTTTCTCAACAGGGAGAGGGAATAAATTATTTGCCATTATGCAACCTCCGTTATGCCTCACTGAGCCGCAGCTGTAAAATATTCATAAAAGTGACTCTTCCAGTATGATCTCTGGGCAGGATTTGACGTTATTGCCATCATTAAAGAGGGCTTTTATTGCAGAGATTATTCAGAAATGACAAGCTGAAATTACAAAGAGAAATTAATGAGATTTGAACCCATGTCTGTCTATCTGTGTGTGTGTGCCATATTTCCGTTGGATTAAATGTTGAATTTTTTCACCGCTTCTTTTAGAAACAGCAATATACGAAAATGGAAGATGTGTCATTCTGGTACAAGAGAATAATAGGAGTTGTAGCCTCTGATATTGATAGTATTTCAGAGATACCAGTTATAATCTCTCTAGATCCTTTTAAACTGGACAAGATGAACCAAGGAGGATGATCACTTGACAGATCCGACTGACAGATGACTAGTCTCAATCAGTGAAAGAAGTGACTTTAAAATATAAAAATAACCATATAGGAAACATGTAGGTCTTTGGGCTCTCTTGTAAGAGTACAGCAGCAGTCCAATTGTACAAGATTCCACTCCAACCTGAACAAACACTTCTGCTTGTCTCTGCCACCATAATATTCACAGTATCTCTCCAGCAAGACTCCACAGCATAACATATAAAATATCATGCACTCACACGCTGCAAAGTCAAAGGTGTACATTAAACTAAAAACGCATGTGCAATCATGAACTCAAAACTCAACCTTTTTCCATTTTGGAAAATGAACCTCTCTTTGTTAAAAAAATACTGCTTTGCTATGCCTCCTGTTAAGGCGAGTCTCACAAGCCCTCCTTTTGCAAAGAGGGTTAATTGGAATAAAGTCTCCCTTTTTTATCCCCATGGTGTTTGCTTAAGGCCAGCTAAATAAAGAGAGGGATTTACAGCTAGCTTGACAGGATACAGTCAAGATTAACCATAGCATCGCATACCACTCGTATGTGAGTCAAGGCGTGTGTGATTCAAGGTGTCCTTTCACAGGGTCTCCCACCTACTCTCCGCCAGAAGAATTCCCCCCTTGTCTGTCCCTGTATCCTGCATCCCCATACATCTGACCACTCCCCAACCCCTCACCTCCACACACACACAGCTCCTCAGACACAGTGGGTACAGCCCACCCCAGCACATCACCCACCACCCCTCCCCCCCTTGGTCCGCCCCGATCATCTGAACCTAGAAAATCCAGTCTGTGCCTGCGCATTTTTTTAAAATTTCTGGCTGCTTCTAATGTATAAATAGCATATAATAAATCATCTAGAATCAGTGAACATAATTGTACAAACCTTTTTCCACTAATACAGAGATCAATAAAAACCAGGAGCAGTGTATTTTGCAGATTTTTTACAGACTGTTTAACGTGCTACCCTAGCAAAGGTACTGTTCAAATTTTGGTTGTCCCAAAAAGATTTTGCTGTTCAGGAACTGGTCCCAAAACAGTCACCGTGTACATTCCTGGACTTGAAGGAATACTGTGTCCTCATAGGTTAAAATACCTGAAGCTCTTTCGATCTGAATTTAAAAAAAGAAGACTGCTGGGTTCAAGTATTAAAAATCCTGTAAGCGTATGTAACCATGCCATAGAAGCAGATATAGCACCTCAGTATCAGTCAAGAAATGAATGGAAGAGACTATTAAATCTATTAGCTGCTAGCAACCTAACCAGCTAGACGCACCAAGCGATCTCATGGTTCTTAGATTCTTAACAAGAACTTGTGCAAATGTACCATTAAAGTCATCAGAGAATGGAATATTTTTGGTTAGGACATATAGCCTGGGGTGGACATAGCATAAAATCATTAGAGGTCAGAGAATGTGTGGTAACATGACAGTTTCTAGAGCTGAGTTACAGGTGCACATGGGAATTTTAGAAGGGTCCGGAGCAAGTTGTAGGAGAGTTCTGTCCATCACCAGCCCCAGCCTAAGGGATGTGCTGTTTACTAGTTACAGCCGATGTCTAATTTTACTTTTCCAATGCAGAACTCAATAAATCGTAAGTGACAGTGTGGAGCAGTAGTTAGGAAACCAAAATTGTAACTGGAAGGCTGTGGGTTCAAATCCAAAGAGACATTGCTGTTATTCCCTTGAGCAAGGTACCTCACTGGAATTGGTCCGGCAAAATACCCAACTGTATAAATGGGTGCAAATGTAAGTCACTCTGGATAGAAGTGCCAGTCATATAAGTATATACTGCATACTGTAAATGCTGTATATATAAAGTGAAAAACTAAGTCCCACCTCCTTCCTCAGCTTCTAGTTCATCAAGGGAGGAACCAGAGACACCCATTTCCTGGCATTTCTTCCCATGAGCCTTTGACTTCATGTGTTTAGTGAGATTCCCTGCAGAAAGATATTGGTGACAATTAATAAAACCGCTTATCAAAGAAATAAAATCACCCTCAGCTGATACTAAAGGATTTCTGGAAAAGTGATTCCTGTTTCTCACCTTGTTTGTTCTTGCTGTAGAGTGTGTCACACCCTTTTCACAGATACAAGGTTTCATTGCTTTTGGAATAGAGCTCTGGGAGAGAGTGCCGCTTGTTTTTCCTGCTATCAGTTGGTAAAGTACAATAAGGATGTCCATCTCTGTCCAACACTGAGCAGTGGACAGTGGCAAATTCAGTGACCAGCTATTCTGCCTGAAAAGCACAGAAGGGGGCTATATCCCCCATTACAATTTAATTTCAGCTTTGGTGCTAAACAGTGTTGGAATCTATGTAACACATCCAGACAAAGCTGAAAGATCACATTTTTTCAAGTCAGTTTCTCTTGAACAGAGATGCCTATGAGTAGACCTGATCCCTCCCAAAAAAATTCCTGGTGAACTTCCTCAGCAATGCACAAGTGGAAATGATGGGGAAGTGCATTCAAAGCAGGAAAAGGAAACCCTTGCTGCATTTATGGAAAGGACTGTGGGAGATTGGAACAATCCAAGCTACACAGTCATGTTGTTGAAGAGGATACCCTGGCTTCTTTCAAGAACCGGCTGAAGGACCAATTAGCTACCAATTACCAAACTAGCTAGATGGGTCTAACCATTCTTACGTTATGTTATTAAGCCATACATTTCAAACAGCGGACAGTCTAACGCTACACCAATCCAGACCTCACCTTTGGTTTTGAAGGCAAAGTTGCAGTACTTGCAGACATAGGGCCTGACATCAGTGTGGGTGCGGATGTGCTTCTTCAGCATGCTGGGCTTCTTACAGCGGATTCCACACTCCTCACACACATACTTCCCCCGGCCTCGTCCCCGCACATACACATACTCCTCATTGGACTTGTAGCTGAGAGGGAGAGACAGAAAAGGGGGAGACAGTGGGCGAGAGTTCAGAAATGGCCGGAGCAAGCAGTAGGAGAGGGGCAGCTGTGAGGACTCTGACTGACAGAGATCTGAGGTTTGAGCCTTTAGGAAGAGGAATGAAGTGGGATGAAAAAACTCTGTTTTTTTTTTTAACTGAGCAATTCAGAATGCTCATGATAAATCCTTAGATCATTACCTGTGTGCCAAAACAAATGCATTTTAAAATGAAAGAAAGGACCGGATCACATCAAAACTGTTGTTGTTTTAAAACAATATTGTAAAAACGCTATATAACAAGAATTTTTGTTAGAGAAATACATTCTTCCATTAGGGCCAGATAATGATCTTGGAAAGAGTTCTCTATTTCTGCTATTTTTTAAAATATTAAGCATGAATCAGACTTTTATTTGGCAGTGCATAAATGTAATGACAGCGTTCAAATATCTTAAATACACATTTAGAGCAAAAAGCAGTTGAACACCCTTAACACAAGACAGATTCTTAACTGCCCTTCCAGACCAAAACTCATTTACAAAAGTACAGCATACATGAGCCAAAAAAGTGAATACCCCAAATTTTCTTGCCAAGTGATTACTATTTTTGGCAAGAAATATATTGCTGATAAACCAAATTACAATTTCACGAAGGAGACATGTCTCTTAGAGATATCAACAAAGCTGCTTATTTTAAATGAAAACCAGTGTTTTTTCAACCAGTGAAGAGGAACCAGCAACGGCCCCTCGCTAGGATACCTGGAGGCATCTAGCAGTGTTGCACTGGGCCTCCCAGTACAGATGCTATTTCTGAAGCCCTCTTTCCAAACTGTTGCTTGACAACAGACACCTAAACACCGTCGTTGTTGTTGTTGTTGTTTCTTTGGTTCACCTCTCCTCTTGTCAAGACCAAACTGGGCTTATAAGTCATTCCCAAGCTGTAACACAGCCTTCATGAAACAGGATTCCCACTGACTTACCAAGGATCATGGTAAGAACAGCATCCTTGCGACATTCCTTTTCTCTGGTTCCCCATTCAACACTTCCACCCGCACTTTGAAAAACACCCCCAGGCTTAGCTGTCTGTCATCTTTGAAAAATACAACCACTTATCTCTCCTTTATGCTCGCCAGTGTATTGGCACACCCTGATCCTGCAGTGGACTAAATATGACTGACTTTAATAAAAATAACATCACTTTATTAACCCTTTACAATTTCTTGCATTAGGAATGATCTTTTCGCATACCCCAGCTTGCTCTCCATGAGACACACAGACACATTGTACGGCGCCCCTGGAGCAGTTGGGGTTGCTGAGCAGTTGCTCAGGAGCCCAGCGGAGTAGGATTCCTCTGCCGGCTGTGGGATTTGAACCGGCAACCTTCCTGCCACAGGCGCAGATCCTTAGCCACAGAGCCACCGCTCCGTCCGATGACACGGGGGAAAAATAGCGTAGTCAAGTAAGCCTTTATCCCAGTTACTCCAGTCCACCAGCTGTATAGGAGGTGTGTTTCCTGTGATGGACTACCATTCCATCCGGGTTGGGGGGTTATGTGCTCTTAAGTCCACTTAAGGCTATAGAAACAGGATGAGATCTGTCCCAGTAAGCTGTTGTGGCTCTCGAATGGACTCTACCCTTTTGTACAATATAAGATTAGATTTATACACCTGAACATGTATTATAAGTACAATGCATACTGGGTTATGCATTTATTTGTATGGTTTGACTCCCTATTAATTATTATATTAACGTATTGCATTGCAGACTTTAGCCACAAGTATCTGGCTTTGTTCAACTCAACGTGAGGATTTTTGCACTGTACAATCATCTTTAGGTTTTCAGTTCATGAGAAATCATATGACTTCTATCAATGACTCAGATTACAGTTGTGTCTGTTTTGCAATCTATTAAGGTTATGTCTTTATTCTTTGTGGTGAACATTACCATGCCTCAACTTGAAGATGTGAGTCAGTGATTGACGAACACCATGGGACTTCTTCACTGTGCTTGCCACAGCGAGAGAAACGTTTTTTGATCACGAAACATGCATTTCCTTTGGCAGACTGCCAAATGAGACAAGGTTTCTCTTTTATACCACCTTAAAGAGACATTGTGCAGATTTCCAAGTGATGGACAGCCATTCTATTCATCAGACATAACGAACTGAAAACTCAGAATTGCATCACTGTACTGAACTGACGTGAATCATTTGATTTGTACAGAGTCAAAAAATAAAGTTTATATTCCTCTCACAAATATAGTATACAGGATTCATACGATGTAAATGTACGAATTCTCCAGGTATTTATAATATGTGGCACACAAAGAAACCACAGTACTATTGACCTATCAGTGTCACTTATACTACATTTGAAAGTACTCACATAAAAACATTTTGAAGAGAAGCATTAAAATAAAATCAATAAAATCACTGTGCAGTCAATTTGCTTTCCATCACAATGATTCCATCACTTTATCTAACAAAGCAAACACACAGCAGTTCAACCTCTCAAGAAGGACAAGGCCAGATAAGACTGGTCCTTGATTTGACCTTTGTGAACTTGACAGGTGTGGTCATTCCAAACATTTACCGCAACTGTTCTGTTCCTCCAGTTTTGTGACTTCACTTCCTCAGTCAGTCTTTATAAACTCCCTTCTCTCCTTCACATCCCTCTGCCCTTTATAAATGTGTGTGTGTGTGGGGGGGGTGAATATTCATTCATTTTTGCCTGATTAAGTAGTGCTGCCAACCGCTACATCACAAATAGGGTTAGAACTCAACAAGGCAGGCTACACCCTGGAGGAGAGGCCTGTCCATCACAGGACTGGGTGAATATATCAAAAATGAGTGTTGATTCTAAACTAAAAAATATATTGAACCCTCAATAAGAGAATAACACTATGTATGCGTACTGTCAGAGAGGGAGAGAATGCGCCCGAAAGATCAATCTCTCAATATTGGCCTTTTTCTTTCTTTATTTGTCTGTTACATGAGATGAGTAACATGGCTTTTGGTGTGGAACCTTGTGCTACTGGTGAATGCGAGCTTTGTTTACTTGGTTAGTAATTTCTTGACTCACACTTGAGTCAGCCTCCTGAAACATTCTTATTCCTGTTGTAGATCATGGTTAGGACATGTGTACAAAGACCATAAGCGGCTCTGCCCTGACCTATTGGATCTGTATATAATGATCAATATATTGAAGCTAAGCAGGTGTGAGCCTGGTCAGTACCTGGATGGGAGACCTCCGGGGAAAAACTAAGGTTGCTGCTGGAAGAGGTGTTAGTGGGGACAACAGGGGGCGCTCACCCTGCGGTCCACGTGAGTCCTAATGCGCCAGTACAGTGACGGGGACACTATGCTGTAAACAGGCACTGTCCTTACAGATGAGACGTAAAACCAAGGTCCTGACTCTCTGTGGTCATTAAAAATCCCAGGGCGTTTCTCCAAAAGAGTAGGGGTGTAACCCCGGCGTCCTGGCCAAATTTCCCATTGGCCCTTTCCAATTATGGCCTCCTAATAATCACCATCTTGAATTGGCTTCATTACTCTGCTCTCCTCCCCACTGAGAGCTGGTGTGTGGGGAGCGTTCTGGCGCACTATGGCTGCCGTCGCATCATCCAGGTGGGGCTGCACATTGGTGGTGGTGGAGGGGAGTCCCCATTACCTGTAAAGCGCTTTGAGTGGAGGGTCCAGAAAAGCGCTATATAAGTGTAAGTAATTATTATTATTAATGTTAACATCATCCAGGTGGGGCCTCCACGTTGGGGGGTGGTGGAGGGCAGTCCCCATTGCCTGTAAAGCGCTTTAGGTGGAGCATCCAGAAAAGCGCTACATATGTTTAAGGAATTATTATATTCATGATCCTTTAAGCTCTGCATTTAACTGTAACAAGAACTGACCATTATAAATAAAACTAGACATAAGAATGGAGGGAAACCTATACAAGAAAAGAGCAACACAGTAAGTCCAATGTAAAAATATAAGGCATCATAAAAATTCAACCTTTAATGAAACAGCTTTTACTTCAGAATAGGAACTGATTTCAAACCATATCGCCATGAGTGCCTCTTGAACTTAATACATTATAAGAAAGGTAGCTGAGCCTTTTAACAATAATCCTGTTTAGCTACAAAAGGTTGTTTTAAGCCACTTTTGAAAATGTGTAACAGTTACTACAGTACCTCCATTGCAATGTCTGTATTTTAGGGTAGTGAAAAAAACCAAAATATCAAAAGTTCTGATTCTTGTATTAGGTCAAAGAAAAAAACCCAATGCATTCAACTGAATAGCATATCTTTACAAAAATAGGTCTGTGTTTAAATTAGGTCAATTGCAAAAATATTTAAAAAGAAATGTGTCTGTCATGTTCATTCCATGAGGACTGTGCTGGACAAATGTAAAATCTGAAAGGAATTCCTGTCATTTTTAATTAATGGGATTGCTAGTCTTTAATTAATGGATCAGGCTTTCTCTTCTTAATCGCTACACTTTAACTCTCTCTTGATACTTGCATGCTAAGGAGGGTTTAGTACCATAAAAAACAGGAATTCATTGCCAGCCCATTTATTATTAATCATTACTTCACTTGTAAGTAATGAAGCTCATGCCTGAGTCCCAGCTCTACCTCTATATTTCTCTTAACTTTGCCTTATGGCTCCATGGTGATTAGTATTAACTTTGCATGTCCATTCACTGCACCTCACTGACACATGTTCAAATGTACAAAACTTTCCTCATACGTACGGCTGCCTTTTGAGCTTTTTCATTGGCTTAAGGCTTTTCGTCAAACTGACAGTCTTGCTACTCTAAGATCAGCAACATATTCGAACCCTTTTGGTAGGGAGCAATATACTGTACACCTGTGCAGAACCTGACCTGATCTGGGTTCACTCCTGACCTGTCCTGAGTTTATGACAATTCCAGAATAATAGAAATAGCCTTTGCACCATGTGTGGAAGTGTTTGTATAGTTCTGTACATGCAACTATCACTTCTAAACACCCATTCACCGTGATGAAAGAGTTTGACCAGAGCTATAAAACTTCCTGCAGAACTGCTCGGATTGGGAGGGCCTCAGGGGAGACACCTTGTGTCTGTCTTCTCCAGGAGTCTGCCTTTTTTTTATCACTGAAACTCATTTCAAACCTTTGCTGAATTGTGTTGTGACTTTTAGCATCCTCTACAGTACTGTATATCTGCTGTGAAACAAAAACAGAACCACTATCTTAGCACTATCCTTTCAGGTAGGTACAGACCTAAAGACTCTGTCTGCCTTTGCAGTAATGCATTGAAAGGATTAATGAAATATAAATAACCTGATTCTTTATACTGTATTGCTGTATATCTTTAATCAAGTCTTAATATTCCCTGCTTGAGTTCCCTTGGAGGAATCAAAACAGTAGAATCAAGGGCTCTTAGCTCCGGTAATTTAAGGATACAGATCTTAGGGGGTGTTTAGTACATAATGGAGATTGATTAAAACTTTTAATTAAGATGCAAGGTAAGGAATTTTAACAGCTGTTGCACGTGTCATAGCACTCATTTGAATAAATGAAACACAGCTCTGCAAACTCAGAGCTCTCACAGCACCTGAGACAGATGAACAGCCTGTGTTCTCTCCCCTCAGTTTTTTTTACAATAAATGTAGCAACCAATAAAATTAAAATAACTGGTTTTCAGATTGAAGTACCGGGTAATTCCATTAAGCACCACTTTAAACTACTCCAAGTAAGCTCATATGAAATATTCAAATAATCTGCGAGTGTACCTCTATTTCCCTCTTGAAACTAATGACTAAGAACATAATTAAAATGGAGGAGAAAAAAGGAACAGCAGCTTCCTTGATACCTCACACATGAGGGCAGAGAGCAAACAACAGAAAAGGGGAGAAGCAAACTGCTTCCTGTCTGCAAGGAAGTAGAGTTTTCACATAATGAGCCCACGTTGGAGCCCATGATAAATAAGTGTAATTAATGCCAGTGCTTCATTTTTGTCATCATTCTCTTCACATTACATTTTCCCCTCCTCCTTAGGTGCTTAGTTTCTTGGTAAAGATGCAGCCCAGCTCTTTGTCTGTACTCATAATTAAAATGAAAACCTTTCCACACCGAATCAGGCCTGTCTCAGCTTCACAGCTTGGTTTTGATTTTTTTTTCTCCATGCGACTTAATTTATTTTTTGGTCTCAGATGTATATTTCAGTTTATATTACATGAACTGGAGTCCAGGAGAAGTGTCTCTTCTTAAAAGCTGTTAGCTACTCAAATACCTCCAGTTTGCCTTCAGATTTATTCCACTAATCATAAGAAAATTCAAATACAAAAAATGTCTTTTGCGACACCGAAACAAAATCTGGGTTCTTAATTACCGTATACATTCCAAGTCCTTCTCAGAAAAAAACAACAAAGATGCACCACAATTAAGTCTCACACTTATCAAACTTCACTATGAATCTACATCTTCTCTTTTAAAGGTTCAAACAGAAACCTTCTTGGTTGAAGCAGGACTGTTTTCAGGCAAAATCTGACACATCAATATGTTAGAAATCTGAATGTGTAGACTTACTAATGAATCACCTCAAACAATGGGGATTAAAATGAACGTTTCAGTCCTGACTATCACTACAATGTCTCAATTGTCAGTATTGAAGTATGCTCGTGTGTGTCCCATTCTTAACACTTGCGATAAGTGAAGGAAGGGTAATACATTCTGTATAATAAGCTCAGCCATCACGATGGGATTGTATTGTGCTATTATCAAGTAAAAATGTGATCTCTATGCCTCATGGGACCTACTACAGCAGAGGGCTGAGGAACAAACCTCATTAGTGTGGCCTCCAGTGAAGTATTTGCTAAAACAATGTTGAGCGTTTTCTGAAAAACATAAACAATAAAGAATATTGCTTTTTTTTAAAGATTATTAAACTTATTTTGCAGAGGATTGTATAAAACATTGTGAACATCATGAACCGTGAAAAGAATTCCATTTGCAGCATACCATGTTTTCTAGCACTTTTAGAAATCTGACAAACATTGAGCCCTCTACTTGTTCAAACAACTACCAGGATCAACAGCGTCTTGCTGTGTATCATGTCTGACAAAAGGGGAACGAAATGTATCATTTTTACCCTGGTAATGGAAGGTTATAAAATCACCCACCAATATCACAATATTGGTGGTGATGGGAACAACTTTGTAACATATTTTTCTCGAATGGCTTTTACAAACAAAAAGTAACTGCCTGTTTTTTTTTTACTTTTTTTCTTCCCCGCAATCTTGCATTTATTTTAACTTTCTGCACCATGTCTCATGGGAGACTTGCTATTTGTGCTTGAAAGGAGGTTCCCTGTGGTTTCATTGTGCTGGACTGTCTACCCATCACTTTCAGGTAAAAATTCACTATTAAACATCACTTCAGTATTACTCAGTTGGAGCCAAATTTTAGCGCTTCGAAAACTGAAAGAAAACGAGATACTGAGGTAATGTAAACGGCCCTTATTTCACACAGATGGAACCATACAGTAATTCACCTGCTCTGGTACAGTATAGGCTTGACAACATATTCATAGGGGACTTTATGGCTTTATGGGATTTTAGTGTATGAGACCATACCAACAGACGTGACTAGTCTAATTAAAATGAAGACCAGAGGTATTTGGAATAAAAATCAAGATGTTTTAAAATAATCTGCAAGTGCTGCCATCATTATTTTGAATAGTCCTCTCATTGCAAACTGCCAGTTGTTAATCAACTGGGCCCTACTGATACGAGGCTCGCTTCAGCACCAGGAGAGGGAGATGGGAGTGCTTCCCTCCAGAACACCGATTTGTCACAGGGACCTGCCATTTTCCACTCACGCAGTGCCTCCATTGCAGGAGTGGTGAGGCTCACAGTGGCATCACTGCAAGATCACAGGCGGGCAGAAAGCCACAGGAGTTGCCTCACATGACCTCTGTGCTGCACGTCCAGCTGCACTCTTTCTTGGGGAAATCTGGTTGCTGTCAAACAACGACCCGGCCCAAAGTGAACTACAGACCTCTCTGAAACAGCACTTTTTCACCTGACCTACTCTAGTGCCCAGAGCAGGGAGACAACTAGCGAGAAACTGACTTATCCAAAACATATGAACATAAAAATCAGCAGAAAATAAAGTACTGCAAGCTTCATGGACTGAAACTGAAAAAACAGACAGCAAAAGAATGCTAAATGCAGTATACTGTATTTTAAATGGTCAGGTTACGCACTTAACACTCAAAGTCTGGGTTAATTTATATGGTCAGAATATGAATCAATGCAAAAATTTAAGATATACTAACACTGTATACTGCAAAGTTATTAGCAATGGTATTGAGCATTCGAGCAGAAAATATCACCAATCTATACCATGACAGTGATGGGCAGTGTGTGAGAATGCCAGTGGCTAAGAGGATGTGAGCCATCCAGAGAATAAGTGTCACAGAATCACCTTCCCTTAAATTGGATCCCCTAAGCGATGCTCTGCTCTGCAACAACCTGACAAACGACACCTCCAGTCAGTGCTATTTAGGCCCATTTATTAGCCTGGTTATTTTTACCCTGGTGTATGAGAGCTCAATACCAGATATTTCCTTTCCTCGGCCGCTGCCTAATGAGAGCAGGCAGTGGCAGCGCTATTAAAGAGTGGCTCCGCAGAATAAACTGTGCCAAGGAGACTGACAGAACTGAGGAGGCTGTTTTTCCTCAGCACAATAAGGCTGCTCTTGCCATAGACATTCATCTTACTACATTTCTGTCTTTCTTCAAAACAAACACAGATACGGGAAGCCAGCTTCCTGATATATTTAACAATAACAGCCTAAGGCTTCTCTTTTAACACAGCAAGCAGACAACGACAATATTCCTGTGATCCCGAAAGTGGCATTGTCCTGGGTCTTTACATTGGGAAGGTATGCGCTTGAGCTGCTAAGAGGGAGGGAAGGGAGATCTGGAATTGCTCCTACCCGCCCTCGAAGATTCGGATACGGGACGGCTCGCTGCGCTTCGATGTGGAAGCTTCCTCTTCCCTCTTGCTCCTCTTTTCTTCCTCTTTCTCCGGCTTTGCGGTCTCCTTCACCTCCGCCGAGCTGCTCACAGGTGCGGCGTGTATCTACACGGAGGAGGACGGACACAGGGAAGAGCAAGACTTGTTAATAATCAAGAAAATTCATCTTTCACTGTGTCATCCATCATGTCAAGAGTGGGAGGTTTGGACAAAAAACACCGCAACCTTATTTATTCAGCAATTTATGTGTTATGCATATAAGAAATTAGATCTTTGGTTTGTATATGCAGGAAGGAAGAAAAAAGTTATTTTATTAGAAGTCCTAAATGAAGGGAATGCAAAAGGCTCCTCAAAGTACAAATAATCTACCTTAAACCAATGTTAAACCGAAAGCAACGGTAGTTTTAAACGAAAAAAAAACAAATTACTTAAACGTACATTCAGATAATGTTAATGAAATCTTACCTTTTCTATGCCACCTGAACAACACATGAAAACGAATCTCTTCTATGAAGTTCAGATTTAGTGCTAACCGATATTGTTATTTACGAAACACTTCAACCTTGTCCAGCCACCTTTTATTGGAATCATATTCTTTGAAAGTGATTTTAATGCTGAATAATTATGTGTTTATTTTTAAGTACGCTGAATACCATGAGGTTGTCTTATGAGATGCAACCAGCTATTTAGACACGTTGGTGATGCAGAGACCCTGGCATCCTTCAAGAAATAACTTAACAGGCTCAATAAGCTACCAGCAGGCGAATCCACAAGATGGGCTGAAAGGTCACAAAGAAGGAAAAATCATTCATGTATCCTTTAGGAAAAGGCAGAGTGCTTTGGTGTTTCTCTTACCTCTGCCATGCGGGGTTTCCTGGAGTTGGCAGGCACCAGCTTGCCTGAAGTTGTGCGGTGAGTGGTGGCCATGGTGTAGGTTTCGGTGCTGTGCTTCTGCTTGGATCGCAGCAGGGAAAGAGTTGTCTTGGTAGACAGGCCGGGCAGGTTGGGATTGTGCACGCTGATGCACCAGGACGAGTACACAGAGGTTTGGGGGTCCCTCAGCGTGGAAGGGTTTGGCTTGATGTAGTTTAGGTAGCACCAGCTGACAGATGTCGTGGTGTGGAGGCTGGGGAATGAGGGACCTTTCCGGCTGTCAGGGCTCCGGACTCTTGGGATGTTCAATTGGCTTTCCTCTCCTTCTTCTTCCTTGAATTGATCTCCTTTTCCGAGTGCCGCCTTTTGTTCCTCTTTTGTTTCCTCCGTCTTCTCTGCTTTTTCCTTGTCTTCACGCTCCCGCTCCATGGCAGCCCCAGCTCTACCCTTCTCCTGCCTTCCTCCTCCTTCCTCCTCCTCCTCCTCTTCCTCCTTCACTCGCTTCTGCTGCCGCTGTGCCTCTGCACTTAGCTCCAGACTGCCGGCTGGGGAGAGCATGCGTTTGTTTCCCCCAGCAGGGGAAGGCCCTAACACGTCCTCAGATCCCATGCCAGCGACCGACTCTAGTGGCAATGTCATGGGCAAGTAGCTTTTGAAATCAGGGGTGGGGATCTTCAAATACGGATTTTGTAGCTTTTCTTCCTCTAGCTTGCAAAGCACTACGGCAGAGCGGGCAGACTCCTGGGCCCTAGTGACAAGGATCTGGGAGAGGGTGGTGTACATGGCACTGGCATAAGTAGGGACATGGGTCTGGATGCGGACAGGCACCACTAAGGACACTACTGGCCTTAGCTGCTCCAGGCTAGGTGCAATGACTGGGCGAGGATGCTGGGGACCTGGGCCCTGTGAGGAAGGGGATGGCTTTGATTCCCTAAAGGGCTCTGGGGGCATCTGCAGGGCTAATCCTGATGGCACTGGGAGGTAGAGGGCCTGGGCGGCACCTGTTGGGTACTGGAGTGGCAGGAGTGGGGGGTACTGCTGTACCGGGAGACCTAAACGCTCAGCTATGTGGAGTTGGCCCGGCCTGAGCTGTGGGGCAGTCTGCAGAAAAGAGTGAGGGCCAATCTGAGCTGACAGAACCTCAGAGATACCTGCTGTGGGGTAGAGCTGAGGAATTTGTCCCTGTGTGATGCCAACAGGGACTGGTGGATGGAGGGGAAAAATAGGCTGGAGATCCCGGGAGAGAGGTAGTGGGGGCTGGAAAAGCTGCAAGGACTTGGACATGGGTTCTGGTACAGAAGGTGAGGAGGCTGTGCTTGGTTCAACGGGGGGAGCAGCTGGGCTATGATAGGACAGACAAACCTGTGGTGTGGCTTTTGTCGGCCGTCCAGGTGGTTGGTCTTCAGGCTCAGGTTCTCCCAGAGTGGCCTGCCTAACTAGGAGGCATTTTCGCCTTTCTCTCCATGCAGCAGAGGAGCATTGGGGGGAAAGGCAACCATAGTCAAAGGATTTGCTTCGGACTTCTGCAATTTGGGCTGGGTGCTGAGCACTTGTTGGCGCTTGTTCTGACGCTGAGCGGCGCATCTCTCGGTGAGGCTGGTGATGCTGATGATGCCCGGATGGTACAGTCAGCATGTGTGTCACCTGGGAAGTTCTGGTAGATGCTGGCTGCGTCTCAATATCAGGCTTACCTGATTCCTCAAAGGATGCTGAGCGGCTGGAAGTATGGGACAAGCTGCTTTCTTGGCTAGGGCTACGGGGCAGAGAGATTGACTCAAAGCTGGACTCTCCTGAGGACTGAGCAGCTTCAGCTAGGCGAAGGCGCTTCTTCTTTGGTGGCAGCTTCTCAGCTGGGAGCTGAGCCAGGCTTTGACTTCTCTGGGGCCACTGAAACTCTTCAACCTTCTCTGGCTCCTTTGTTGTTGCTGCTGCTGGAGGTGATGCCAACACAACATCGGGGTCTGGTTCCTCTGTAACCAGGATCTCTGGCACTTGGATGTTGGATTGACGAACCAGTTTGGAAAAGGAGGGCGGTTTTGATGGCTGCTGCTGTGTTTGCTGCTGGTGCTCCTCCCGTGGAGGAGGAATGACAATTTTTTCCTCATTTTCCTGACTCTCAACAGATACGTCCAGCTTTTCAAAAGAACTGGTGTGCTGGATCACAGAGATCTCCTTCCATGTGGTTCTTCTGTCCTGTTCTGTCTGTGACGAAGTACTAAGAGGACCCTCCCTGCTCACGGTTTCAGCAGCTGGTCGACTTTCTTCCCTACGTGGTATACAGGTGGAAGAAGGAGGAAAGGAGGTAGCTGCTGGTGCTGGACTAGATTCAAAGACAGGAGGCTCCTCTTCATCCCCCAGGCTTTTTTCTTTCCTTCTCTTCCGCACTGCTGCTGCTGTGGCTCCAAACTTGTAGTGCATCATCTGGGGACGGTCTACCCGGTAAGCACTGGTCCCTGTTTCCCTTTCAGTTTCTTGTGGCAATCGAGCAGGGCAATAGGTACGACGGTGGGTCTCATAACTTTCCCGCTTCTTGTAGCGGGTACCACAGGCCTCACACTCATAAGGCCTGGGCCCCCGGCGGAGTTTCCTGCTGGGATCCGATACCATGGCGCTAGAAGCCGAGGAAGAAGGAGCCTCCTCGGGAATGAACTCAGTTCCTAAGGGCATCTCAATGGCAGGCTGGCGTTTCAGCAGGCGTTGGTGTGGTGGCAGCAAAGCTCCGGCCCGCACCTCTGCTGCCGCTGCCTGTCGCTCATCAAAAGAGTGGCTGAGACGGATACCGCGGGAGGAACTACCAGCAGTTTCACCGGGGCCCGCAGAGGAAGGCATTGAGTGGCTTCTTAGAAGAGGCACTGTGGAGGCCTGGCCTGCCAGTAGATCCACATCAGGGAACTGGGGATGGAGAGTCTCTCCCGGAAAGCCTACACTCATGCTCCCACCCGTGCCGGAGCTGGGGAGTTCAGCCTTTGTGTCGAATAAGAAAGGTTCCTTCAGAGCTGAAACTTTGGGTGACTCTATACTGCTCCTCCTTGAGAGAGAGGTCCTTCTAGGTTTGACACTATCAATTTCGCTGGTGTCCACCACGGCTTCATTAATAGTGATTAATTTTGTGATGTGTTCAATGACTTGGGTCTTGGGCACAGTGAAGGGAACTCCCTTTTCCTCTGAGGCTGAGGAAGACGAAGGTTGCTGCTGTTGCTGTTGGGGTGTAATCCTTTGCTGCTGCCCCAATCGCCCATATTTGCCTAGGATGATTTCTGCGTAGCTTTTGGCATTGGCATTGGGAGGACTGACTTGCTGCTGCTCGGCACTCTCTGAGCGAGAGAAATAGCCAGATTCTGTGCTGCCCTTACTTCCAGGGCTCAAGAAGGAAGGGGGATCGTCTGACACGACCACGGGTGCACGCTTTCTCTCACTCAAACGCATGGCTAGTCTCTGTTTGATGGCCTGTGAATCTTCAGAGCGCTGGGCTTCCTCTGCTGCAGACAGTTCCACGCTGCTGCTTTTCTGGGATGGCAGCCTTCCGTATGTATCCAGGGAAGAGGAAGACGTGTGCTGGCCTGTTTCCTCCTCTGAGTCTGTGGTTTCCCCTTCCGTTGGCTCTTCTTGCTCCTCTCCTGGCTGCCCGCTCTCTGGTCCACTCAAAGCATAGCCCTCTCTGCCTGTTGCAAGCCCAGCTTTGATCCTGTGGGCATGGGATTTCCGGTGCTTATAAAGGTTGCTCTTGGTCTTAAAGGAGAAACCACATGGAACACAGGGGTATGGCCTCTCTCCTGTATGGGAGCGGATGTGTTTCTGGAGGACACTAGGCTTGGCACAGGGCCGCCCACAGTACTGGCACACATATTTCCCAGGTTTCTGGGGTTTGCGCTCCCGTCTAGGGACACCTTCCTGGGCTTCCTTGCTGGAATGGGGAGGGACAATCTGAGGATGTAAAGCAGAAGAGGATGACGTGGAGGACGAGGGGTAACTACCCCCAGAAGGACCCGGGGCCTCTGTAAACTGCCACACCGCCCTGTTTACAGGGCCTGCAGCTGATGGTTCAGTCTCCGCTTTCCCAGCCAGCTGAAAAGTGGATGACTGTTGCTGCTGTAGCCTGTGATAATGGCGCTCCAGACTGCTTCGTTTTGGTTGCCGATGATGGTGTCTACCATGGGAGGTGTGATGGGACCTGGAAGGGAATACCCTCTGATGCTGTACGGACGGTGACTGGGGTAACCTGCCCCCCAAAGGAGGCTCTGTCAGAGACTGTTCCGGGCCTCCGGACCGCTCCCCACCAGTCGGCTGACTGTGTTTGGCCTCCATAGGGTGGGGAGGAGGCCTTACATACACACTGGGAATGCTTCTGTCTGTTTAAGGGCAGGGGGCCACATTGAATAAGCCAGAGAGCCACCTTCTCTCTGAAAATAGGGACATTTAGTATACAGGAGGATGCAAAGTAGGGGTTTATTTTGTAAGAAAAAAAAGTGCTTGTTTTTGTGTCACCTAAAACAAAAAACCAACAGGGTTTTTCTTTTTTTTTTTTTGGCAAAGATGTCTGGAATGAAGGCCCCTTCTTAAAGACACTATCAGAAAGTAACAAGAGGCAGCACCCAAGTCAGGAGCTCAGGTCTGTCACACTGTCTTGACAGCCTCCTTGACCACCCTGATCTTCCCATGGTCAGCCTAATAGGCCTCCAGGCCAGCACTCCTGCAGCTGGTGAACTGTCTTCTGGGATTCTTCCCTATTTGCTTGGATACAGGGCCCAGGCTGGGCCACTGATCCCTTGGATGCCGTAGATCTTCCTGGTTTTTGCTGCTCTCTCTTCTGAAGGCTAGGATAGCAGGAGTCACTTCACAAGACCTGTAGGGACACGCAAATAAGACAGAACAGGTGAGTCTCTTCAGCAGGAAGTCTCTCTTGACACACACAAAAATCTGTACTAAAAGAGACTCAAATTATAGCTGTTAATTAGCATAACTAATTAGCATAATTAGCATAAGCCACACATTACTTTCAATAACCGCTTATCCGATTCATGATTGTGGTGGCTGTAGCCTATCCAGGGAAGCAATGGGTGCACATACCCAGGATACACCCTGGATGAGATACCAGTCTATCACAGGAACAGATATGCAGGCAAAGGTTTATGCCATGCTGAATATAAGAAAAGAGACCCAACTCTTCATCTGTGGAGCCTTCTTCGGGTGTGACACACCTGAAGTGACTCCTGCTGCCTGCACATTCATAGGGCACAGCCAGAAACAAACACACTCACACCAGGACCATGTTTTTAGAACATGTCTTTGGACTGTGGAAGACAGCCACAGTACCTGGAGGAAACCCACATGAACATGGGGAGATCATGTAAACTCTATACAGAACTCCAGAAATGGTAACCACTTTGCCACTCTGCAGCCCCTGTTATCTAGCATTTTCATCTATATCACGACCCATAGTGCCCTTTTAATGCTGATCTATGGTGGATCAAAGAAAATGTCAATATATAGAGTATATAAAGGAATATGAATGTTATTAGACGAAAACTAAACCAAATTGAGCATATTCTGTTTAACATTCTTACTACTGGATTATTAATTCCAGATAAGTGCCCTTTGTTTTTAACATGCTTCATGTTAAGGCAAAACCATCTGGTTCTGTGTAATTGTTACCCAGTAAATGATTATCCTAGCAAGGGTGTAGTCCAGTCGCTGCAGAGATTCAAGACCTGATTCTCTGGTGTTGACGAGACACACTGGGCTGATGAGCCTTGTTGGGACAAATGTGAAGCAGCACTTTTGTGTCTTTCAGCATAACAACAAAGCAACATATTACTAGGCTGGTAGGTAAGTGAGTGGAGTTTATGGTGATGCTATTCATCCCAGAAAAACATTTCCATTTACAGAAAATCATGAGAAAGAAATATCCTTATATAGTGAACTGCTGTTATCTTGAGAACAGGGAATACCCAAATTCTCCAAAAAATTCAAATGCTGTTCATGCTCCTAAATTTAATCCTGAAATCTTTATTTCAGTTTTTGCTTTAAACTCACAGTCATCTTTTTCAAGAGAGTTCATTAAGGCTCCACACTTCTGCTTCAAGAACGAAATCAAGCAAGCAAGTAGAACTGAGCAGCAAACAAGCTACATGAATCAGGAAACATAAAAGGATATTTTTTACAAGTTATTATAGCATTCCCTAATTACAGCCGTTGTTATTCTTAAATTTTCCCCCACTGTGGCAGGTTGAGAACTGGTTAAATCACTTCAGCTCCTGAGCATGACTTCACAAAGTATGCGTCATCACACAAACATTATGCTATACATTGAAGAAGTGACACTGGACTTGCCAAAGAACCACAGGGAACAGTGATTTAAGTGGCAGGGGTGTTCAGCAAAATATCGAAAACCTTTCAATAAAAAAAATCTCAGCAAATTGTCATAATTTACTAAGGATTTTATAAACATTTTTAATTGGATGCTGTTTTTAATGGCATCAGTTCTACTCTACTAGGATAATAGAATGCCCTTTCTCTGTCCCTTTGAAAGACTAATTGTTTTACTCTCTTCAGATCTAACCTGAGAACTCACCTTTTTAGGTGTCTGATTGTCCTACAGTTTATCCTGTATGTTCTTGTTTGATTTTTTCTTTTTTTCTTTTTTCTCTTTCTTTCTCTATCGATGTACAACATCCTAGGGTTTGGACACTTTATTTTTATTGTTGTTTTATGCCAATTGGCAATTTGCTGACCACATACTGTACCTATCTGGAAAAATACAGTTAAATGACTTCACTTAGAAATTGCACAACCTTGTAAATAATTGGCAGAGGACCAGCTGACCTTAGAGATTAATCTGATTAAAATATTTTGTCTGTCAATACTGCATTCATTTCCAAAATATTTTTTATAAGTGAAAACTGAAGCAGTTAGCAATAAGTATTAAAAAAACAGGTCTTCATTTAGAAAACCAAATGATATCCCGCTATCTTCCATGATACATAAATTCTAAGGAAGCCCTGCCACATACTGTCACGCAATGCTAATTTTAACTCTGAGGGTTTATAACACTGAGGTTCAGCTACTTGTTTTGCAAATTGAAGGATGGCCTATAAAGATTGTATACAGACACAAATCTTGTATGGAGCCTCATCCTAGAGACTTTTTTTTCTCACTCTCATGATGGAATAACATAATAAATGTTAAAAAAATTGAGAAGTAGAGTTTGGGCCATCTTGCTCTTTGGGTTGCTGGTAGTTTGTTGATTACAACAACACAGAACACCAGTTGGAGTAGTGAGAAATTTCTTAGACAATTAAATTAAGGGGGAACTTTAAGCGAGCCAGATAGTGAAAGCCCAGAGTGGAATTTGGCCAGCACACCAGTTTTTGCCACAGGAATCCCTTACTCTTACGAACAATCTCATGTGATCTTTAATGACCAAATTCAGTAGTCTGACTTTGGTGCAACATGTCATCCGTCTATAGCTCACTGTTGCCAATTGCCATACTGAGGCATTGGTTTTAGAGTTTCTGGTCAAAAAGACCCTAGGTGCAAGTATGTGCTTGCTTGTGTCTGTGTGTCCGCCCTGTGATGTTCAGGGGTCCCATCCAGGGGGTACCCTGCTTCGTGCCTGTTGCTTGCAAAGATGGGCTCTGACTTCCCCCCACTGGATAAAGCATTTAAAAAATAGATGGATGGTCTAAAGAGTGCCACCTACTGGCACTGGCACTAATCTCACTTATAGTAACAATCTGGTCTCTCATCACACTAGCTAGCGTCGGAGATTTGTTAAGGTCAGACTAAAAGGCAGCACTTCACTACCTAGTATTAAGTAGCGATTGTCGTGCAGTTGCAATCACAGCTACAATTTAACCTTTATTAGTTTTCTGCCTTGCAAATATCGCCATCAAGAAACGTGCTACTTGTATTGCAGGAAACATTCATGTCTGCAGTTTAAAATTGTCCCTAAAAAGGCCACACTTGAAGCACTGCACCAATGTGAAGAAATACTAAATATTTCTTAAAAACAGAGACAATAATAGATTTTAAGAGAGCACTGAGTAGGTACTTAAACACACATACTGTATAGCCCCTACCACTGTATAACTTGCTTGAAAAAGGACGGTAAAGCAGCTGTTATTTGTATGAAACATTTCTGTCATTGCCTTCAGTTTGACGTTAAAGTTGATGTGTTTATCTTATCACGAAAGCCAAAATATGAGTAAGACAGGAAACGCAGTGAAGAACAGTGAACAATATCATCTTCACCCTCAGTCCATCTGCACACCATTGATTTCTTCCAAATGTCTATACTTGTCAGTCATCTGCACAGGATTCCACCCAGAGCACAGAGAAAAGAAAACGATTCAAAGTCTTCACCAGACTGTTTTAACCTTCATTTTACAAGCTTATCCTGGTTTCTTAAAGTGGACACTTTGACACAAAGATTTGAAAATTCCTTTCAATTAATTTTGACAAAAGGCAAACAGATAAGCAAGAACTTTACCAAGAGTGTTTGATACAGATTGGATGCTTTGAATGTGATTTTTTGGTGCTTTTGCCGAAGGCCACTACTTATCTAAAGAGCAGGCACGGCACATTGTACTATAGAACTACCCAATCAGTCTCAAGTCATTTAAGAAAGTACTCTACAAGAACACATTTTACAATCTCTTCTCTATGGATTGCCCTAAAAATGCCCCACGTGGCCATGTGGCATAGCAGGCTAATGCTAGTACAAACCAGGGTCAATAAACCCCACCAGAACAGAATGCATAGTGTAAGCCTTTAGTATTTCCAAGTATACATTGTGCAAATCACACCCCCAAGTGTATGATTTTAATGTCTCTGACTGATCATGCTGTTAAAGGTCTTTGATGAGTCAATGAATACAATCATTCCAGAAGAAGGCAGATATGAATAATCTTTTGCTTCAAAGATCCTTTCTGTGGCTTGAAAAGGTCCCAAACAGCAGCCACCCCCTCTCTAGACCTCAGTTTTATTTGTCTGTCTCTCCACAGTGTCTAAGGATAAAGAAAACTAAAGATGCAGGCCAAGGAAAACTCATTCAGGAATGTGTCAGCAACAACAGCTTAAAAATAAAATGAACACATCTTCTTGGCAACGAATGGGGTGTTATCTGTTACTTGCACTGCAGCCAATGCTGAACAGAATGCAATCCGACAGTGAAATCATCGAAACAATCTCATTACTGTACATTTTGCCACCGTGCTTGAAGGTTTTCAATAATGCCGAACAATTTATCAGCAAGAATTCCACTTAATTGAAGCACCAAAGGGTTTTAAGTTCAAGATGATTGGTGCTTAATGCCATAAACAATTATTTCGCAAAGATCTGTTTCAGAAAGAAAAATATGACTCAAGTTATTGCCATACTGTGCAAGCAGTCACTAAATATACTAACAATTTCAAGCCAAAAGAATAATCAAAAATCTTTCTTGAACATACTGTACAGTGCCAATGCCAAAAGCAAAACCTTTTTTAAGATATAAAACAATTTCCAGTGTGCAGCACTAAAGACAAGGGCACCAGAACCTCCTGATGCTCTATGTTCCTCCACCACCTGGTTATTTAAAATGAACAAGAATCCATTTTTAACCTTAATTCAGTCTGTGCAGGTAATTTATCCAAGGGTTTTTTAGTCTGGCTACAGCACAACGTGATCTTGAATTTGAAACACACAGAACAGACAAGAAAGAATCCCTTCTTGCTTCCAAAGACGTATACTATCTCATCCTGAAAAATTATGTTCAGATTCATTAGTTGGCCTATCTGACTTTTCCTGGAATTCATCACAAAGTCCTGTTGCCCCCAGTGGAATTTCTAACTGTAGATGAGGGTG